TAAGTATCACGGAGAAAAATGCTAAAAATCAATTGCCCACAAAACATGAAACTTTATTCACAAAGTATAAAATTGTATTTATTTCAGAGAAATACTGTATATTTATGGCTAGAAAGATGGCAGCAAGAAGAAACATTAAATAATCATGTTTCATTTGGTCGCCCGCGTATTACTACAAATAATCAAGACAGCTATTATAGATAAAGCCAAAAATGACAGATTTATAAACACTACACAATTTTCAAGCACATTCGAAATATCCACTAGCACCATTAGAAGACGATTAAAAGAAGGAGGTTTAAAAAATAGAGTACCGGGAAGAAAACCAACACTCACGCCAAGGCACAAAATGCAGCGGCTACAATTTGCAGCTAATTATTTAAATTTTAATTTTTAAAACGTTATTTTCATGGACGAAAAGGTTTTCTGCTCATCAAATAATGGGCGATTAAGTTTGTGGCGACCCGAAAACACACGTTACTTAGAACAAAATGTGCTGCCTAATCGCCGGAGTGGACGTATTTCATTTGGATTTTGGGGATGGATGAGCAAAGATGGTCCTGGTGAGCTTGTGGAAATAAGTGGACGAATGAATGCAATGAATTATAAGGAACTTCTGGAAGATACTTTTCTTTCTACAGCTCAAGTTTTTTATCCAGAACAACAAATTACATTCGTTCAAGACAACAGCTCAGTACATAATGCTCGTACAGTACAGACATGGATTAATGAACAGAGAGAACTAACTTTAATCAAACTACCACCAAAAAGTCCAGACCTCAATCCCATCGAAAACCTTTGGGGTAAAATGGTGCAAGAGTGGTATGGGAATCAATGTCGAATAACAGAAGCCTTAAGGCGACATGCAAATGATGTTTGGGAATCGTTCAGAGGTCGAGGTTTTTGTGAGAAGGTAGTTGGTTCCATGAGGAAACGTTTACAAGACGTATTAAATGCAGAAGGAGGTTACACAAAATACTAATGTTTCGTGAGAAGTATATAATTGGTCAGCCTTTAAATAATTTGGTCGGCACAAAAAGATTTTGTAAGCAATTTAAAAAATCAGGCAGCAATCCTTGTTCGGCAAATAATTATATAATGGTCAAAAATTTAATATGAGAGTATACAAGATGGCTCATTTCAATGGGTCAGTATGGGAAAGTCTGAACTATAATATATACGAAGATCTGTTCTTAGGAACTATGTCATCGATTTTAATAAAAATTAAAACTGCATTCATACATTTAAGAAAAGCCCTATAGTCAGCTCGGGAATCGAACCCGGTCGTTTTGAAAAAAAAAACTAACACTATTTCCTATTTCTATTTATTAGTAAGATACGTGTTAAATTTTGTATTAAAAAAACGGTGGTCACTTAGAACCTCTACTGAAATAATTTAAATTATGTGACAAAAATGCATTTTACTCATTTTAGACATCACGTTTAATAGAAACATTTACTGCTTCAGACCTACATAATCGATATTTAACTAAAATAGTGTAAGTTTTTTTTTCAAAACGACCGGGTTTGATTCTCGTGCTGATCACAGGGTTTTTATTAAATGTATGAATGCAGTTTTTATTTTTATTAAAATCTTGTTCCTAAGAACAGATCTTCATATATATTATCGTTTCAGACTTTCCCATCCTGACCCATTTCAATAAGCCAACCTGTATAATGAGAGTGGAGGGTTACCCGGGGAGAGGAAGACCGAAGAAAAGATGGATAGATTGTGTGAATGAGGACATGGCCAGTAGAATTGGGAAAAGGGCATGCAAATGATGATAGTCAAAAATGAAATCATAAAAAGGCAGCTTACAATAACATGGATCTGCAAGATTTCATAATCCATGTCTGTACTGTAGATTGGTTAGCAGGAGAAAACATGTCTATAAGCAGTATATTTGAATAGTATGCATATTTAAAAACCAGTCAAGTGCGACTCGGACTCGCACACGAAGGGTTCCGTACCATTATCTAAATAAATATGTTTATATTGAATTAAATGTAAATTGCGGTTTAATGTAAATTGCGGTTGTGTTTTTTAAATTCGTCATATTATTTGTAAATAATATGACGTATTTAAAAAAACAAATTACTTGATCTCGTTCAAATCAACTTTTGCTAGAAGTTTGCATGGTAATGTACAGACACGAGCTTTAATCTGGGCCCCACCTTTTAATATCGTGTAGCAATCTGCTGCAAGCTGTATAAAGCTAATGTTTTAATGCAACGTCAATGTCATAATGTTTACCATTGACAACTTTACGTTTCTAGGGGCAACCATGCAATTACGTCATCTAAAGCGACAGCAAAAGATCATTTCCGATGTTATGTTATGTTCCGTTTCCGAATTATACTTTGTAAAAATGTTACATTAAACTGTTTTCTTCACTGACACTGACACGAAATAGTATTTTGTAAAGAGGTTATCATTTCAAGGGTCGATTCGTTATGACATTATGTCATCAAAACACTATCAAACTAAAATTTCGACCTTATTGCATTATGAATTCTAACAACATTTAGTGGAAATGAGTCCCATATTAAATTTATAGACCTATCATTTTTATAGACCTATCCATACCCCACACGCAAAGATTTGATAAAAAAAAATCTAAGTCCATACGTTTTTTTTTCTATTTTTGTATGAATATCGTTTTTTTGCCATTTGGCTACGGAACCCTAAAAATGGTGAACAAAATAACTAATTGGTCTGCGTTTTTGTTGAAAAGTCGACAATATACGTTACGGCCGTCTACGTCTGTTAGAAATTCCCGTCTAAACGGGCATTGATAATATTGGGAAATTATTAAGCTAATAATAATACGCTAATTTCAAGAACCTTACTAATTGCCTGATAACTTTTTGATTTGATCTCATGTATAATTATAAGAATAAAACATTTTGTTACTATTTAATTTTAAACTCATTGTATCAGAAGTTGCTTTTTTATTATTTCGATCTCGATTATAATTTTATAATAATAATAAATACTTAAGCTTAAGCATCTACTGAGGTAGGTACCAAGTTAATTCGTTTACATTTTTTGATTATTTAACTCAATAAAAATTTATAAGAATTAAAAATTTTTTTTATTAATTTTCACTTTTATAAATAATACATACCCAAACCAAACAAACACATCCACTCAGACAGTAAATAAAATTTTTGTAAGGATGGTGCCCAGTTTGAGCATGACAAGTACAGAATTCCATTTTCCACTGCATGGAAATAGGGGGACAAATGTTTCCTCCAAATTATTACTTATTTCTATTGCGGTTAAAAAACGCAGTTGTCTTATTTTTAAATAAATTTCTAAGGAGATATTGAGAATTTAATCTATAGAATAAAATAAAAACATAACTTCTCGTTAATTATTTTTTTTACGTTTAAAAAATAAATAGAGAATAAATTAGGCATCTTCCATTTCTACTACTCGTGGTGACCTACACGAATGATTTTCTGATAGATTTTTATTCCCTTCTCATCGTATTTATTCCTTATATTTAGCCTTTGTTTTTAGTTCATCCTTTCAATCACGCAGTAACAAAATATGTAAGCCCAGTGCATGATCTGCGCAGATACATAGTCATTGACGTGTTCAGATATTTTTGAAAAGTTGTATGTCCAGATATTATTGACAGGCATCTGCTCAGATATTATTGAAGTAATGAATGTTCAGATATTTATGGTCACTTGTAGAGTATAGAACTTAATGACATTTTAACTGTTCAGATGTATTTGGTCACCTTGCATGCTCAGATATATCTGATGGCGACTGTATATATCGCAACGCATTAAAGAGGGCTCCAGTTTCGCATGCAACTCCTCAAAAGTCCTAACGGACATCTTGAAATATAAGTAGAATTTCATTTCGTCATTCTGCAAGTCCGAAAACAAGGATACAAATTCTCCTTTAAGAAGTCTTTTCTCAACCAGTGGATGCACATTAAATCTTCTACCATAGCGTCGTCTTCTGTTGTTTAATAAATAGGCCGCAATCACCAAATTCAAAGTTTTATCCATGACACTGTACCACTCTCGATCACGATCCGCAACGCACTGAACGACGGATTCATCCGCGACGGACGCATAACCTCATCCGCGTGCGGACGGTCCGCATCGCACTGAATACAGCCATACATTAGTGGCTTTTGATAATTTTTTCACTGGTCTTCCACTGATGGAACTTTTGCATGAAAAAGGTATTTATTGTGTTGCAACAATAAGACCAAACCGTAAGGGCTTACCAGATTTGATAACAGGAAAAAATTTAACCCGCGAAGAAAAGAAAGAAACAGCTTTGAGAACGGGTGAGTTTCTGTACCAGTATAATAAACCTATAGGTATTGAAATGGAAAGATACTAAGGATGTTTTTTCTTGGAACTACTGCGTTTGATCCTCGAGCAGTTGAATTGATTGAGAGGAAACAGAAAGATGGTACCAAGAAGAAAATATATTGTCCACTTTCGATCAAAAAATATACAGAGTTCATGGGTGGTGTTGATCATTTTGATCACTATAGAGCATCATACCCGCTAGGACGAAAGTCGCGGAAGAATTGGCATAGACTTTTTTGGTTCTTGTTGGAGGCAGCCGTCATCAATTCTTATATTGTTTATATGACGTCACATTCGGAAAGAAGAAACTCCCATAAAGAATTCCGGTTGCGATTGGGCAGAGGACTCATCAACAATTTTTCGTCTTCAAACAATTTCAGTACCGGAAGAGATTCGAAAATCGGACGTAGGATCCCACATGCCTGAATTGACCAAATTTCGAAGATGCAGAATGTGTAGTACACGTGAAAAAGAACAACGCAGCAAATACATGTGTAAAGTTTGCAAGGTATCTTTATGTGCTGCCCCTTGTTTTGAAATGTTTCACAAGTAAAATTAAATAGATATTCTTTTTTAATTTAGTATTTTTACTTATTTCAATTATCTCTGTCCACTCATTCATCTAAGTCTGACTCAGAACCTAATGTGTTAAGTTTAAAGGTTGCAATGTAATCGGCCAACAGGAAATATTTTCCCACATGGTTTCCTGAAAAACTAAAAACACATAAAAAAATACTGATATGATATCTAATATCTGTATGTACCACTAATTACATACTAGCTTTGAAACTTTTGCAAACATCCACAGTTTAGCCATGCCCTATTAAGGGTTATCTAGAGGAAGTATTAATGGCAGCAACTGACACTGAGAGGCAGAACATGGAACTAATCTGCAAATGGGGATGTGATGGCTCGAAAGCACAAGAATTCAAAACAAATGTTTGAAAACAAGTCTGATTCCGATGCCCATGTTTTTATAAGCTCATTAGTGCCACTAAGGCTCACGAGCAATGTGAATGGCACAATAAAGGTTTGGTGGCAAAATCCGGCTCCTTCATCATCCCGATTCTGCCGCCCTATAAGGATCTAGTTTGTGCATGAAAGTAATGAATTGACTAAATCCGAAATAGAACACATTGAAAACCAGGCACAAAATATAATTCATACAGAAGTTGAAGCCAACAACAACGTGACAAAAGTATCGCACAATCTTGTTCTAACAATGGTAGATGGCAAAGTGTGCAATGCTGCCACTAATACAACATCGACCATGAAGTGCTACTACATATGCAAGCAGACTAACAAAGAGTTCAAATGCTGAAAACGGTTGAAGAACGTGCCATAGAACCGAATTCACTAAAATGTGGACTTTCTATTTTGCACACTCGAATTGATTTTTTAGAAACATATCCCCATATAGCATATAAACTGCCCCTTAAAAAATGGAGATTAAACACCGAAGAAAAGAAGATTTCAGCTGAGAAGAAAAAGGAGATTCAGAACGCAATTCAGGACCAATTGGGCTTGCTTGTACACTTGCCGAAAGCTGGATTCGGTAATACCAATGATGGTAATACATCAAGAAGTTTTTTGCTACTCCAGAAACCACTGCCAGAATCACAGGCATAGATATAGAGTTCCTCAAGAAGCTGAAAGTTATTTAAGAAGTCTTAGCAAGTGGGTTCCCCCTTGACACAGGAAAGTTATCTGTGTATCTTCGATCCACAGCGGAACTATATGTTCATTTATATAACTGGCACCCCATGACGCCCACTTTACATAAAATTTAATGTCATGGGGCTTTGGGCATTGAGCATGCTGTTCTACTGATTGGCCAATGATCAGAAGAAGCGGCCGAGTCCCGTTTTGTTTTGCAGGGGTGGGGTTTTAAAACCGTCACAACTCCGGCGTTTTTGGAGCAATCGTTTCGCGATTTTCAACTAATGGGCAAACTTTTACACCTTTTGGGCCCCCCATACTCTAAACGCCCACACAGACAACTACCTTCCTAGAGCAATCTAGGCCATCCAGATGGGTAGACCTCCGCCAGCAAAAACCACAGAAAAAATCCCCACCCCGCTGCGACCGATAGAACGGAAGATATATTTTTTTTTAATCTTGGCCGTCATCTTGGTGGGCTATTATTAATATAATCGCCCATTACCAACTGCATTAAGCAAGAAAAATAAGGAAACAAATATTTTATTGATGACAGATAACCGTGGACGTCATGGAAAGCCACCAAAAATTAACGATAATATTAAAGAAGGAGCCAAGCAGTTCATAGATTCAATACCCAAAATTAAATCTCACTATACACGAGCCCATTCAAGAAGAACCTTCATTGATGGAAGCAAAACTATTTCTGATCTGCACCACGATTACGTCGAAATCTGTAAGGAAAAGACAGTTCCTTTCATCAACTATGTAATGTTCTACCGGATTTTTACTCAAGAGCACAGCATATCATTTATTACACCAAAAAAAGATATGTGTGACGTATGCGAAGCGTTTAAAAATTTATCACCCAAAGAAAAAAAGCTGAAAAGGACACTGATGAAAAACATCATGAACAGAAGAGGCTATCACGATAAGAGAAAGAAAAAGACAAGAAGAACTGCCAGTATGCGTATATGACTTGCAAGCAGTATTTCAGTGTCCGAAAGGCGAGATATCCGTGTTTTACTACAAATCCATATTGAATGAACTCAATCTCACAGTATATTACGTCCAGAAGAATACTGTAGAATGTTATGTATGGGATGAAGCAAATGCAAGCGGAGGTGTGAACGAAATAGGTACGTGTGTATTAAAGTATCTCGAGCAGATATCAAAGTGTACCGAAGATATGAATGTAGTATTGTATTCTGATAAGTGTGCTGGCCAACAAAAAAACAAATTTATGGTGGCCATGTACTATTTCGCGGTTCTGAAATTTTCCAAATACAAAGTCAATAACACACAAATATTTAATCAGAGGACATACCCAAAATTGGATTCGGCACACACACAAATAGAAACCTATGTACACGCCCAATACATTCATCAGTGCTATCAAATCTGCTTTGAAGATTTTTATGACGGGAAGAATGTACACACATCAAAAAAAAATTGCGATCACTTTGAAAAATAGATGGTTTATTTGTGTTACAGAACACTTTTTTATTATTTATTTTTGTGATAAGATTCTAAATTTTAAAATTGTTTTTCCATATAAAAAGACATGCAATCCAAGCTGACACTCATTCAGAAATCTGACTTAGTCAATATTATCGAATTTAAAATATTTTTTCACGGAAATTTGTGATTTAAAAAAATGCCACGAGGATTATCAGATGTTTTACGAGCCAGAATTGTTACTTTAAGGGAAAAAGGCTATTCTACGAGAGGAATAGCACGCAGAGTTGCCATATCCCAATCCCGTGTAGTAACCACGTTGCAAAGGTACCACGGCATGGATAATTTAGCTGATCTACCCCGTAGCGGTCGCCCAACTGTTTTGACAGCTGCTCAGAAGCGCTACATCAGGTTGCTGGTAGCCCGCGGCCCACAACAATAAACGCCACTAAATTAAAATCAGAAATACGAGCCGCCTCCGGACTTGATGTTAGCACTCAGACCATTCGGATTTGCTGACACAAGGCTGGATTACAAGCACGGAGGTCATGGCGAGCACCTTTGAATTCACGGGAACATCAGCGACGGAGATTACAGTGGGCTAGGCTCCGGCAAAACGGAGAAGACGAACAGGAAAACATATGGCAAAACTGCCTTTTTGTTGAAGAATCGCGAATCAGTACTCATTCAGATAGTCGACGTGTCCTTGTTTGGAGAAGACCTGGAGACTCTGAAAGGCAAAGAACGGCCACTGGAACGGTTCAGCAAGGCGGGAAATCAGTGTCCGTTTGGGGTGGTATTGTGATTGGGGCTAGAATGCCTTTAATCCCTTATCAAAGCTTCATGACGGCAAACAGATACAAAACAGTCGCTATTGATGGAATCGTCAGACCTTTCCGAGTAAAGCGTCCATTTGAAATATCAAAAAAATTGTATTTTTAAATAAAAAAGATGTAACGTAAACATTTTTGAATTTTGAAAATATATCAGCTTTTGCAAGTGATCTCAATCTAAAAACAGAGAAAAACGTTCCAGTCAAAATCAGTGAAGTAAAGATGATAAAAGTCAATTTATTAAAATAAACTAATACGCAGAGGAGGAGTTTAAAACAGCTATAGTCATAAAGAGGAAAAAACATTGATATTGAGGTTAAAAAAGCCTACACAACTAAACCCGGAACAGCTGAAAGAAAGAAGGCTGATATAATGGAACTGATGAACAAAAACCATATTCCAAGGTACTGCAAACTTTTTTACGAATCTTTGTATTAATCAGATTTTACCTACCACCTCAGTTTCTTCTCAAGCAGGTGTTAAAAGAAAAAAAAAGACGACACCGACAAAGCAATAATAGAGATATTATCTCAACACGAAGATAGACATTTGTCATTTTTTTCGAGGAGTTTTGTCTTCATTGCAAAATTTTGATGAAGCAAAAACAAGACGATTTCAAATATCAGTTCTACAAATTATTGATAATCTTGATAATAATCTTCCAGCATTGCCATCTTATCAATATCCACCATATAATTATAGTCAAGAAAATATCGGCTATCGTACCTATTCTACTTCTGAAAGCAATACTACCCAAAGTCCACAAAATATTCAATCAGTTTCTTCAGTCAATACTAATTTGTCAGATGATGTGTATTTTCAATAAAGTAACATTTTCAATATTACCACTTGTTTCATTAACACCTGACGCAAAAACTGGGGTGCCCCCTATGTGTATGTGTGTGTGAGTGAGTGTCTATGTTCGTACGTGCGTGCGTACGTGCGTGCGAGTTATTAAAAGAAACTTACATACCTTAATGTCACTGCCAACATTTCCTCTGGTGATATGGGATCTCGCATATTAGTATGTTGTTTTTGAAGAGCAGTTTCTGTTTTTCTTAAAAGTTCTAAATAACTACATACGGACATTCGAAAATAATTAAAGAACTTTTCTTCATCCTTCTTTAACTCATTAATAAGGGTAACAAATAATCCATAACGATCTCTTTCCGCAATCAGTGGATGTATCCAGAATCTATTAGGCCTTCTTTTTTTAATTCTTCTGTGAAGGAAGTATAATGCAACAGCTCGTTTCTGGTGTGTCCATGACGGTCTGAAACTCAACTGATCGTTAAACCGCCCGTCTTGCAACTACCTGTCTTGCGATTATCAACCGCCAAGTTTGCGAGCAATAATCGCAACCGCGACGGCTGCGTAGCCGCACAAAACTCCGATCTCGTGAGTTTTGAAAATAAAACTCCATTCCGCCACCGCGGCGGGCACGGGTGAAAACCGCTTCGTGAGTCCTTAGCCATACTGGGAAAAAAAGACCAGTTTTTGGCAGCCCAAAGTATTATTCATGTCCCCGAATGTGGGCAGGCTGTGCTGTGGTGTTTATAATTGGTATTAGTCTCCATAAAATCAGCTGTTTTGCAGTCATTTCGCCAAAGTGATTGTCTCCAAGGACGCCTTGAACAGCCGCGCCTGTGGCTCGAATTGTGACGGCACCGTAGCAACCTTGACGGACGTGTTCAATAATGAAATTGACATTTGAAATTTGTTGTGTTTTTATAATTTTTATGTTTACTTTGAATGTTTTTTTTAATAGTTTATAGTGTCATTTTCATTTTAGTATTTTCGTCTTGACGCTCTTTCTAGCTGCATGTCGGCAAATTCCGTCCCTGGCAGTGACGACACACAACTAATACAATGTCCTAAATGCACACAACCCCGGTTTTTAAAGGTATCCGGGGCTGAAATATACACATTGGCAGGCATCATAAATCTTCTGCCTCTGTGCCAGCAGTTTCTCCATCTGTAAATTCAGGTAACGAACCACTTTGCCAAACTCTTGGTAATCTAAAAAATACAGTTCCAGTTATAAAAGAATACCTCGTTCTGCACGGCCCTCAGTCGCTGTTTCTTTATCACAATGTATCGAACATGTTCTTAGAGTAAACACGCCTGAGAGTTGGACAGAACATGTATAATTTTCCTATAGAATTTTACATACTAGTGCAAATAGTACTAGTTCATCACTTACACAAAAAATAAAGGAGAACTGCCGCCTAAATCCTTCTGTGAATTCTTTAGTCATTCCTCCCTCTCGGCCTCCAATTTCTAACAATTCTATAAAACTAATTGAATATATATGTACAGAAAATTAAAAACATTTTATTTCAAAAAAGGACTTATAGCTTACATAAGTATAAAAACTTATTAAAACCTTTTATAATTACTTGCCCAGATGGCTATATTATAGATATATGTGGACCATACGCTGCAACAAAAACTGATGCCCAAATCATGAGTGAGATTATGAATGATGAAACGTCGCCAGTGCACATAATATTAGAAACAGATGACGTTTTTATATTAGATAGAGGTTTCAGGGACTCTATACCAGATATAGAAAGTGCTGGTTATGTTGCCCATATGCCGCCAAGCAAAGATAGGCATGCCCCGCAGCTAACAGATGTTCAAGCAAATAAATCTCGACAAATCACAATAGTTCGATGGGTCATCGAAGTTATAAACGGATGGTTCAAAAGGGACTACAAAATATTTAGGCATACCCTTATAAATAAAACACTCCCTCATGTTTTTGAAGACTTTCGCATTGCCGGAGCCCTCATAAATGCATTTAAGCAGCGTCTGACGGACAATGAGCATGCTCACGCCTTTATTGATATTATAGCTCAAAGAATGAACGAACCCAATAGACTGGGCAATTATGTAGTTGCAGAAAATATGAACAGACAACGGGCGGTGTTCACTACAATGACGGCGACATCAATAGCATTTCCACAATTGACAGAAGAAGACGTCATTCTATTCAGCTTGGGAACATATCATTTCAAGCTCGCTAGATCATATGTTGCTGAGCATTTGCGAGGTGGAGATGGTATATATAATATTGAAGTGACATCTAACCGTAGCCCTAGTATGTCGCAGCATGGGCTAGTGACCGAAAACTGCTGGCTAGTTAGAGGCCGCATATTATCGAGGCACGTCTCAAATAAAATATACTATACATATATTTTAATCAAAATGAATGTCCAGGGCAGAGAAGCCATCGAAGCGTATTATTGCTCCTGCATGACGGGTATGAGAACTCTAGCTGCCTGTGCCCACACTGTTAGCATAATATGGTACTTAGGTGTTGGCAGACACCTAGATAATTTCGTAGGTCCGGCAAGCGCTTAGGATGATATATTCATTGAAAGTAACAACACAATTTAAAAATAACGTTTTTGCTATGTTTGTATTAATAAAACTGTGTTTTTTTAAGATTGATGGTTTTATTTAATATTTTTTCCCGTACCAAAAACGAACGATAGGAAGCTAAGCTGGTCTTTAGACAGAAAAGAAATGTTTTTTTTTACTTATAACAAAGAAAAAAGTCAAATTATTATGACACTTTACTATTAAAAATGTAATAAAGAAGTAGTCATATCTCCGGTCTCCCATTCATTCATTCATTCGTTCATTAATTTTTGAGCTAGTTAATTATGCGTCTTTTAAATGACACCTAGTCTATAATGCTACAAGGTGGGTACGGGTTCCATACAAAATTACCCATTGTTCTTTGAAAATATTGGCCTTGATCTAAATTATTCAAAATGCGAGCTATTTATTCCAGAATCAAAATTTTCACCGGATCAATTAAAATGCATTATTACCAAATTTTCAGCTTTAGCTCCTAATATTAAAATTCTTGATAATAAATCACTCCGTCTAGGTTCCTCCATATTTGACGATGCTATTCCGATTTTTATTAATGAACAAATTTATAAATTTCTGCTGTCCTCCGAAAAAATGTTAAAAATTAATCCTCACATGGCTTTGTATTTAATACGTTTTTGCGCTTTTGCCCCAAAATACATATATTTTTTACGTAGTACTCATTTTTGGCTTTTTCCAGGACTGCTGTCATCTATTGACAGTTCGCTCAGGAGCAGGAAGAAGGCTTGGAAGCAGGCCTCTCTCCCTATTCGTCTCGGAGGACTTGGTACTCGCAATAACTCACATATTACCCTTCCCGCTTTCCTGTCGTCTGCACATGGTACAGCCGAGCTCTTTAATAAAATACTATGTCCTTCTTTAGGCGTAGTGGAGCTAGCTCACCTTGCAGAGGCCAGGAATGCTTGGTGTAGGGCATGCCCGGGAGTAGATCCACCATCCTCCTTATTTTCACAGAGGCAATGGGATGAGCCACTCTGTTTGCGTCTTCAGAGTGATCCTGTAGCTTCCTCTGAAAACGCGGCTGAGCGTGCTCGCCTCCTAGCGGTCTTTCAGGTAGAGTCTGGTTATTGGCTGCAAACTCTTCCTTCAGACAATATCGGGACTTTGCTGGACAGGAGAACTCTATCACTAGCAATTTCACTTAGACTCGGCGTCAAGACCAATCACCACCATCGTTGTCGTTGCGGTACTGGCGTCGGTGAGTTGGGACACCATGGTCTCTCATGCCAAATGAGCGCTGGTCGAGTCTCCCGCCACGCCTGCATCAATGACTACATCCGCAGAGCTCTGGTCGCAGTCAATGTGCCAGCAGTCCTAAAGCCTAGCGGCATTTTTCGAGACGCAACTTGCGTGGATACGCTTGCTCCGTGCCATACAAGTAGTACCTCCCTGGCTGCAGGCGCGGCGGCGGCCTCTGCCGAGTATTCCAAGCGGCGCAAATATTCTGCTCTTAATTACAACTATGTATTTGTGCCGTTTGGTGTTGAGACTATGGGACCATGGGGTCCAAGCGCTCGTTCCTTCCTTAAGGAATTGTCTAAGAGACTCACCGAGGCAACCAGTGATCAAAAGACCGGCAGCTACCTTGATCAACGGATTGATATATTTTTTATTTTGTTAATTGTATAGTTAGTTATTTCTGGTTTTTGAGTTTTTAGACATTAAGTAGCTGTTGTAATGTTAAATACTTCAAGGTTTTCGTTTTTTTGGATCAAATTGGATTCAGATCTTTTTTCAGTCAGTTATTAAATGTATTATGATTATTTATTTAAAAAAGCTTCCCCCTTGTTGCGTTATTCTTCCTAAAAATTTTCAGTATTGCAAAACAAAAAGATATGGTACAGTTTTTTTGAAAAATAATTTGAATAATAATCTAAACCTTTACAAATTATTTCGTATTGTTACGTTTTTATTGATAAACTGTAATCTAAACGTATGGAACATTTTAATTAAGACACGTTACTGTCGTAAAAATCTCTTTATTTTTGTATTTTGATTTACAAAATGAAAGATAGTTTTAGCGAAGTTATTGTGTAACTTTCGCTGAAATACAAGTTATAATCACATTTAAAAAAATATTGTAATTATAACCAGACACTTATATCTGTAGTTTTACTTTAACTCACAATCGTTAGTAATTATAACGTTATTAAATATTCAGGCCATATTAGCCACAAGCCTCCGCACTGTAATATTAGGAAACTAATATTAATGAAGTCTCACAAATATAAATCAAATTAACATCTTAGCAAAACAAATCACAGATAGGTAATCATTCAGTACAAAGATTACACTGGTCAAAACTAGTTTTGGTGCCAAGAAACTGTATTTTTTTTATTAACTTAGGACCGTATTCTGATCCAAGATTTTCTGGAAATTAATCAAGATGTGTGCACTTTGATGGACATATTACATCCTAAGTTTTTGAAACTTGTAGCATGTCATTTACAATTTGTGAGTAGTTATTTGACTTCTGATTTCCGAGATGGTGTCTTGGTCTTCGAGCTGAATAGTATAAACATAATAATTAAAAAGTTACAGGAATTTTAAACTTTCAAATGCGTTTTATCACAAATTAAGATTTTTACTCTGTCACGTTTTTGTCGTAAATGAGCGATATGAACTATGTGAGGCGGAAACGGGGTACTTCTTGAAATTCATTATATATGCGGGGAAAAATCAAGATGCGGGGGAAACTGTGCAAGCCTTCACAAACGCAACCACGAAAGTTCTAATTAAGTTATCTGAGGGTTACCTTGATAAAGGTCATTGTTTGTACATGAATAGTTAATACAATTCCGTAGGTTTAGTGCGGTTTTTGAAAAACAGACACACGGATGTAATAGGGACACTAAATCGCCGAAGAGTGGAAACCCCGTCCAATATTAAGACCTTAAACGACCGTCAATGCGACGTGTAAATATTGTTGCTGCACACTACGGAGATGTTACAGTATTGGCCTGGAAAAATGCAAAATTATGATATCAACTTTCCATAAAAATTAAACAGCTCCAGGCCGCAGAGCAGGTGTGGAATGTGAGAAACCGCTTGTAGTACATAATTACAATAAATATACAACCCGTGCGCACTAACATGGCACCTGGCTCGAAAACAACCCTCCTCCCGCTTCCCCGCGTGGGCCCCCGCTCTCGTCCTGCGAGACTAGTAGCGTTAGCATCACTGTTACCGTTGCACGTATCCTTCTGTTTAAGTTTCGAAGTAATTTGTTGAGTTTTTGTTATTGTTACGCTGGGACGTTTTATTTGTTATTGGTTTTTGTTGACTTTTTTGTTATAATAGTTACGTTTGGACCTTTTCATTAGTGTTGTTCTTGTGTTTTGTTTTTCCACAAAGATGGTGGGAAAAACTATACATAGTAAAGAAAGAGCCCTTATACTCAAGGTATTGGCTTTTTTTGAACGCGAGAAAGAAGTCAGCCATTTTGTAATTCCTGTGGACCCTACAAAAAGTATTCATGAAGCTCGTGAACATGAAAAAGTCAATAAAAAGTTTATGATTCCGGTGGATCAACCAATAAATAGAACTTGTGCGGCTACTAGTATATCCAAACGAACATTAATGCGAATAAAACAACAAGTAAAACCAGTAGTATCGTCTATTTCATCGGTGCCGAGTACTTCAACGTCTACCCCAATACTCGGACTATCAACACCTGGCAAAAAGCGAAAACAGAGTAAAAAAAATTAATCTAGATAATTTCGACTTAATCGCTCTGAGAAACTTGGTAAACAGTTTTTACACAGTACGAAAAGAAGTTCCAACGCTTAAGAAAATATTAGCCGCTGCCAAAAAGGACTTGCATTTTCCAGGTACGTTTGTGTCTTTTTTTTTATGTATCTTTAGTTAGCGAGTGTAATCCTACTTATATTATAAATAAGCAAGTTTGTGTGTCTTTATTACCTCTTTTTAATTGTGGATGGGAAATCATCTTAATATGTGATGATTACCACAAGTTATTTACCATCAACACCTACGAGTACATAATAAATTTATAAATATACTTACCTACTTTTGTTTTTTTCAGGTGAAAAAACTACATTGCGGATTATCTTGAAGAACCAATTGGGGTACAAATTTAAGAAATGCAAGAATGCCCGATTAGTTTTGATACAAAAGCCAGTGACGTATTTAGACGAGACGTGGATATAT